GTGCACACGCGTTGCTTTGTGAGCCGCGACGAGATGAAAAGACAGGAGGGGGGAGGAGGAGGAGGAGGGGGAGGAGGAGAGGGAGAAGTAATGAACTAATTAGGACGCAATAAATCCTGAAATCGTTATTTTTCAGCGGAGCTGTCGGAGCACACGGGCGACAGAGGGTGGGGTCTCGCGTCTCAATGGGGCGGGGTTGCGTGAAAAAAAAAAAAAAAAAAAAAAAAAATGAAACGCGAAACACGGTTCATCGTCGCCGACGGCCTTTATTCGAAACGATCGCGGCCGCTACAAGGTGAATTGACGATTTTAACCGCCGCTTGTGTCACGTGAATAACGGCAGTCGTCGAACAGACGATGATTCTATGGATCGAAAGATTCATGGATAGAAAGAGGAAAGAGAGATGGAGTAGTTTTATTTCGCAAAAAGAAAGAGAAAAAAGAAAAGAGGGGAAAAAAGATATAGAGTAATCGAATGGATAAATGAATAAGATAATCGTCAAAGGAGGAGGATGATTGGTTTAGATTTGTGTTTTCTAAACTGTGAACCGAATTATCGAATAAAATAATAAAATAATAAATATATTTGTACACTGTTTCGTTGAATAGATATCGATTATAATCGGATATTTTTGTGATTATAATAAAAAAAAAGGGAAGAATAAGAGAGATAAAGAGAGATAAAGAGGAGAAAGGTATTCGCAAGAGGATTACCTCGGATTATGCGCAACTGAGCGCAAACAAGATCGTGCTTCTGTTTACAAGACACCAAGTCTGTCGATTTACCGACCTTCGATTCTCACTCTATTACGATTCCTCGATTTGCATCGCACCAATTTGTTCTATATCCGTTCTACTCTCCCAGTAACAGATGTTGCTCGCGCGTCTTATTACTTTCGCACGCAAATCGAATCATTCCATTACGTGTCTCGATATCCAACTATCCGCACACATTATTATCACTATTACTATTACATTCATATCTAATTAAAATAAATTATATTACTTTCACAAGCAATAATAATAACGTAATCGTCCACAATAATTTCATCGAGTAACTGTAAGCTGAATATATATATATATATTTCCAGAATATATATTTCCAGAAGAAAAAAATTGAAAAGGAAATGATTGAAAAAAATTCAAAAATCTTGGGCGAGGAGGACCTCGACTTCTTGAAACAACAAGAGATTTCACAACCAATAATAATAGCATAATCGTCCACAATAATTTCATCGAGCAACTGTAAGCTGTCGAATATATATTTCGAGGAGAAAAAAATTTGAAAAGAAACAAATTGGAAAAATTCGAAAATCTTGGGCGAGGAGGACCACGATTTTTTGAAACAACGAGAGATTTCATAATCAATAATAATCCACGATAATTTTATCAAGTAACTGTAAGCTATCATAATATATATTTCGAGGAGAAAAAAATCGAAAAGGAACGGATTGGAAAAATTCGAAAATCTTGGAGGAAGAGGGTCATGTCTTTTTGAAACAACGAGAGATTTCACAACCAATAATAATAGCGTAATCCACAATAATTTTATCGAGTAACTATAAACTGTCGAATATATATTTCGAGGAGAAAAAAATTTGAAAAAGAACGGATTGGAAAGAGGGCCTCGATTTCTTGAAACAACGAGAAATTTCACAACCAATAATAATAGCGTAATTCACAATAATTTTATCGAGTAACTGTAAGCTATCATAATATATATTTCGAGGAGAAAAAAATCGAAAAGGAACGGATTGGAAAAATTCGAAAATCTTGAGCGAGAAAGGCTTCGACTTTTTGAAACAACGAGAGATTTCACAACCAATAATAATAGCGTAATCGTCCACAATAATTTCATCGAGTAACTGTAAGCTATCATAATATATATTTCGAGGAGAAAAAAATCGAAAAGGAACGGATTGGAAAAATTCGAAAATCTTGAGCGAGAAAGGCTTCGACTTTTTGAAACAACGAAAGATTTCCAACCAATAACAATAGCGTAATCCACAATAATTTTATCGAGTATAAAATACAACTATAAGCTGTCGAATATATATTTCGAGGAGAAAAAAAATTTGAAAAAGAACGGATTG